CTTTCTTTCTTTCTTTCTTTCTTTCTTTCTTTCTTTCTTTCTTTCTTTCTTTCTTTCTTTCTTTCTTTCTTTCTTTCTTTCTTTCTTTCTTCCTTTCTTTCTTTTTCTTTCACCTCAAACTTTTTGAAATGGTTGGATTGAAATCGGTGCTCTCGGCTGAATTATTTGTTGGTCTGCACCAGGGTTGCTTCCTTTAAAAGGTTTCTGTTGAGGTAATTCCCCATTAGGAGAATGAGCGCATACAGGGAGACATAGTGAGAGTAGTGTTTGAATAATACACACACAGCACACAGATACACTGTGTACAGTAAATGTAGGTTTATTTTACTTTCAATAAAGGTTTAAGTTCAAACAAGCAGTCCAAAGTCACTCACAGGTAAAATCAGTCAGTTTTCAATCCAGGGATAATCCAGTAACAAAGTCCAGTGTCAAAAACAGTTCAGTATCAGACTTATATCAAATCCAGAATATCAGTCAATTAGGAAAAATGGAAGAACGGCAAAACTCTCTCCAGCAGAAGGAAACAGAGACTGACTCTCACTTTGTTCTGAGACTAAGACTTCCTGAGACTAAACAACCCAAGTTTCTGGCTCCATCTTGTGGCCATTTGCAGAACCACACCCAATTGCAGTTTTTGCATTCTCTTAAAGAGACAGTATTAAAATGTCTATCCTGGTTCATATATTTCCATCCCAAATAGCTGTTAGGTGACTCAAATTCCTAACAGTTTCCCTACAAATTTACTTTTTTTCAGCTTTATAATCCGAGGCCATCTTTTTACCATCCAACAATACAGCTGTGTCTCTGCCTTCTCAGTTGAGGCCAGTTTTTATTAAGTTGAAAAAGCCTTCTCTTGAGTATGGGCTAAAAAGAATGGCATGATGCTGGGGTATCTGGAGAGGGACAGAAGCATTTGCTTCAGACACCCCAGTCTGTCCCAAGACTGTTTTGTGACTTCGAAGCACATATCAAGTTGAATTATGCAGTTGTCGTCCAACAATTATAGATATGCAAACTCTGCCTTTCCAGGAACAGAATCTTCTGTGCGTTGGTCATCATCAGTGGATGGTGCGGTTAGCAGTGAACAATGTTTCATAGTGGGCTAACATATTAATTCTAGGTAGACCTTAACTTACGACAGTTCATTTAGTGATCAAAATTACAAAGGCGCTGAAAAAAAGCGACTTATGACCATTTGTCACACTTAACGACCATTGCAGCATTACGGTGATTACGTGATCAAAATCCAGATGCTTGGCAACTGATTCAGTGTTCTGGGGTCACGTCCCCTTTTCTGACCAGCAAATTGGGTTTGGAGTCAGATTCACTTAATAGATCTTTCTGTTCTGACCCAAACTCTTGTCTAATAAAACAAATACGAACCAAAGGGAACAGAAACGTTTTAATGATTCTTACGAATCCCCGGTTAAAAGACTGCTGCAAACTAACTAACTTTGATAAGCACGAGCCTCGCCAAAACTGCGAGGCTGCCAAGAATATCAGATAAGGTTATCTAGAAATATTTTACAACACAAGAGTCTTCAAATACCAACTTAAGATACTGCAATGTCCACGAGGCTCGAGTTTCAAAACGTCTTTGCTTCCTGCAAAGAACGTCTGATTCACAGCTGTCTTTTATCTTCCTGAAGGAGGGGCCATTATCTTGCAGCCTTACTCCCGAGTTGCCCGTGCTGCTGCAGTTGCAATCCTGCATGCGCGCGCACTTGGCCCAGGCTCCTCGGGAACCTCCTCATCGCTGCTGCCAGCCCCCACAATCTCTGAAGGCAGCAGTCCACTCCCTAATGCTCCTAGCCCCTCATCTGAGTCCTCGCTCTCCTCAGCCGTCCGCACCTGCTGCCAGCTAACCACAACACTTTTCTAACTTAGCAACTGCAGCAATTTACTTAGCAGCTGTAGCAAGAAAGGTCATGAAACGGAGCAAATGTTTAATAAATGTTTTGCATAGCAACAGCCGTTTTGGGGCTGAATTTGTGATTGTAAGTCGAGGGGCTACCTGTACTTAATAAACAATTAATATTGTGTAATCTTGGCACATTGTTAATCTCCTCTCCTGTTTGTTTGGCAGCCTGAAGAGAAAACGCGCCTAAAAGAGGAGCTGGATGACGCGAGGGACAAAGCCCGCCGTCGCTCGCTTGGCAACATCAAGTTCATTGGGGAACTCTTCAAGCTGAAGATGCTGACGGAGGCCATCATGCACGACTGCGTGGTGAAGCTGCTGAAGAACCACGACGAGGAATCCCTGGAGTGTCTGTGTCGGTTGCTCACGACCATCGGCAAGGACCTGGACTTTGAGAAGGCCAAGGTACTTCACCCCTTTGCTGCAGAAGGGAGAAAGCAGCGGTTCTCTTGGTGCTCCTTGCATTGGATGCTCCTTGCATTGGACAAATGCTTTAGTTATCTATGGAGGTTCTCTGTCATCCAGGTCATGGTTGTCCCAAAAGTGCTTTTTCAAGAGGCAATTGGACTTCCTTGGTTTTTCTTTGAAGTTGTTTCACTTTGCATCCAAGAAACTTCTGGATGGCGGGGAGAGGAAGGATTTATACTCCTTCCAGACCGCTGGTCATTTGCATTCTATTAGAGAGTCCTTGAGGCCACTTGGGAGGTTTATCTGTGTCCTCAGGGTCACCTGAGTAGTGCAAATGGATGTGGAGCTGTGCTTTCTGCTTAACTTAAGGCTCCACACCCATCTGCACTACTCAAGTGACCCCGACGCCACAAATAAACCTCCCAAGTGGCCTCAAGGACTCTAAAAGAATGCAAATAATGAATATAAATCTTTCCGTTCCCCACCATCCAGTCAGAACTGAAGAAGCTTCTTGGATGAGAAGCAAAATGTCTTCAAAGAAAATCAGTCCAGTTAAAAGCATCTTTGGGGCATACTTTAGATGTGCCAAGAACACATCCTAGCACAGAGATGGGCAAGTATGGCAACTTTACGACCTGCAGACTTCAACTTCAAGTCCACAGGACGCAAAATTGCCGTCGCAAAAGCACTTAGACTTATATACCACTTCCCAGTGCTTTCCAGCCCTCTCTTAAGCGCTTTACAGAGTCATCACATTTGCCCCCAACAATCTGGGTCCTCATTTTACCAACCTCGGAAGGTAGGAAGGCTGAGTCAACCTTGAGCCAATCAGACTCGAACTGCTGGCAGTGGGCAGAGTCAGCCTGCAATACTGAATTCTAACCACTGTGCCACTACGTCTCTTCAGAGTTGCCCATCCCTGTGGCAGCATACACAGCACCCATGGTTAATCTTCAGGTTTGAGAATCGGCCAAGGAAGCTTAATGGCTGTGGCCAGGAAGGTAGCAGGAGTGTAGCTCGGTTTGGAGGAGACTTCCCTTTGAATGAACAGCCCACAAAAGCCATAGAGGGACTTCTGTCAGTCTCCTTCACTTCACCTTTCAAATGCTGGCATCAAAAGCCATTTACCTTAAGACCCCTGGTGGCACAGAGACATTTATTAAATTATGTTTGCCCAGTTTTACGACCGTTGGCAAGTGAATCACTGCCGTTGATAAGTTAGTAACCCGGTCGTTAAAGGGAATCTGGCTTCCTCCATTGACTTTGCTTGTCAGAAGGTCGCAAAACGGGATCATGTGACCCCCCGGGACACTGCAAACAGTCGTAAATATGAATCCGTTGTCACGTGTCTGAGTTTTGATCACGTGACCATGGGTGTGTGTGTTGCAACGGTCGTAAGTGTGAAAAACGATCCTCAGTCACTTTTACTGGTGCCGTTGTAACTTGGAACGGTCACTAAAGGAACCGTTGTAACCCAAGAACAACCTGCCCTGTTTTCTAGTGTGTCATCTCACTTCATTTCTTCGTCATAACGCTAAATAAACAAACTTCCTTCCTTGCTCTTCAGCCTCGAATGGATCAGTACTTCAACCAGATGGAGAAAATAATTAAGGAGAAGAAAACATCCTCGCGGATCCGGTTCATGCTGCAGGATGTGATTGACCTCAGGCGGGTAAGGTGCAGGTAGCAGCTCAATGTTGGTTCATGGCCTAGATCAGTGGTCACCAACCGGTCGGCCACGGCCCACTGGTGGGCCGTGAGAAAATTTTGGTAGGCCGCAGAGAAATCTCACCCCCAGAGCACCCCCACAAAGCAATTAATCCAGGCTGCGCAGAAACACAAGGCTGCGCCGCCCACATGGCCCACGGGAACCCTCCCCGCCCACTCACTCCTTACCCGGTAAACCTGCCTGCTAAATTGCTATTTTTCCTTTTTCCGACCATCATCTGTTCTGCCCTGCCGGGAGATTTAGATTAGCTAGGAAGCAGGAAATGGTTGGATTTCCTGCTTTCTAGCTAGTCTTTAGATCTTCAGCTCTGCTTCCCTTAGGACTGAAGGTTTGCTTGCAAGCAAATTCAGTGCTAGCCAATGACAGATAGATAGATCACTGAATGATTCTGTGAGCAACTCAATCTGCTTGTTTTGCCTGATTTTGGGTAAAAGTTGCTCTTTTTTATAAAAAAATCAATATTTACACGCATGGTGTGTTGTGAGTTAATTTTGTGAGTTTGCTTGCTAGCAAATTTCATGAGTGCTTGCAAGCAAATTTTATGTGACAAACTGAGCTAGCCAATGGCAGATAGATAGATCTCTGAATGAATCTGTGATTCTGTGAGCAACTCAATCTGCCTGCCTGCTTTGCCTGCTTTTGGGTAAAAGTTGCTCTTTTTTATATAAAAAAATCAATATTTATATAAATATTTATAATATTTACATACAAGCCATGCCCAGTCAGTCACATGACCACCAAGCCACACCCACAAATTAGGCCACGCCCACAGAACCAGTTAGTGGTCCCTGGGATCTTAAATTATGAGTTTGGTGGTCCCTGAGGTCCAAAAGGTTGGCGACCCCTGGCCTAGATGACAGTCCCCTTCCCCTTTTCTGGGCTAGGCCAGCTGGGTAAACAAAGTACGAGCCTCTGCCTCCCAAAGCTAGCTGTGTGTCAACTCATAAAATATTTCTGTGGTCTTTTAGAGTTGCCAACAGAAAGGGAGGGGGAAACGGTGGGCAGCTTGCATTCCATAAATGTTTTCAAAGATAGTAACTAGGTGACTGAAGTTTTTGCCCTGCAAAATTCTATCAGGAGAGATGACTCTTGGCTATGGATGTGTGCCATTGGAGAATATCAATTATGATACACCCAGGGGATGGGGGAAAACCAGGATCAAGGGCGGCAATGTATTGTGTCTCTAGAGTTGGCTACACCCAGGCAATGCCGCATCTTTTAACTCCCAATAAATCCTTTTGGAGTTTGGCGAGAGACTCATGATTTAAATGGGGTTAAGTGTCGGAATCGTGACACTGTGAGCAATTGGGGGTCCTTGGTGCCTTCTGAGCTTGGTTGTTTTCTTGCAGACATTTCATTACCCAAACTAGGTAACATCAGTGGTGGAGTGGAACTATTGTTAGAAGTCAGTACCTTCTCTCCTGCCTTCCTACTATCACTTGTGTTCTGACCCCGCCTTCACAAGTAGTGATAAGATGTTGACTTGCAAATAAAACAAAGCCCCTTTTTATAACAGGGCAGTAACTTATTCACAGGGATAAACAAAAACATCAAATGTAATTAGTCCCAACAAACCTGGGTTTATCCAAGAAATCCGAATTGTTTGCTGTATACTGGAAACGAACGGTTGTCTGCGACAACCAGCCACTCCCAAACCGCTCCTGTTTATTTCTCAGCCAGGAGGGGCTGGCTAGGGTCTACGTCTGCTTTTCCCTGAGAGCCAGCTTATTGTTGTCCTTGCTCTCCTCTCCTCTCTACTCATCCGCCCATCTGGCATGGGCCCCATCTGTTTCTCTCCCTGACTCTGCTCAGGCACTGAAGACAGCTACCTCTCCATCTGGCTCGAGGCTGGCCCAAGTCTTTCCTCAGCCTCCTCCTGGTCTGACTCTGCAGCTGGCTCTGCTGGTAGCTGACGGCCACAACAACTTGATACCAGTGTTCCTCAACCCTACCAACTTTCAATGTGCGCACTTCAACTCCCAAAATTCCCCAACTAGCCTAGCATGGCTGGCTGAGGAATTCTGGGAGTTGAAGTGCACAAAGTCTTCAAGTTACCAAGTTTGATCTAGCACACACATGAAATTACAAAGAGCATCAGGGCATTGAAGGCAGCAGCCACCGATTTGGCCACTCTTGGGTCAAGATTAAAATTCTTTGGGGCAAAGAAGTGGGGTAGATAGAGAAGGATGTAACTAGGAAAGTCTTCCCTAAGCCGCCTTTACCCAAACAGACCTAGATACTTGTTGGAAATTGTCCTTTCAATGCTGGCTGTGGAATTCCAGGAATTGAAGTCCACAAGTCTTAAAAGTTGCCAAGGTTGGACACCACCGCTTTAAAGTCTCTTGGCTGTAAAGGATTGAAGTGCAATCAATACTAGAAGGGAAGACCAACCTAGAAATACAGCCAGGAGTTGTGTTGTCCATCACCCTTTCTGTCATCCCTGGTCCACCACCGTCGGTTTCAAGCAGCCGAGTGTTCTAACCCAGGCTTCACAAAATCATCTTGTCCCAACAAAACCCCTTTTTATTAGGCTAATGTGAATTCCTCTCATTCACCTCCAACAAAGTCCCGGCAAACAGTCTTTCAAGAGTGATTTACAATTACAGACCTTATCAGGCTTGGAGAGTTGCCAGACCGATAGCTTCCAAGCGCAGCGCTGTACCAGAAAATACTTGGCAAGGAGTCACAAACAAATTTTCACCCTAATAAAATGAACTAATTGTCTCCTGTAAGCTCGTCTTTATTCCCTTTGGGAGGGGCCATTCACTGTCCACCTGTGCCTTTACTCCCGAGTCGACCCTTGTTCCTTAACTGTTCCCTTTTCCTGGCAGCTCTGCGCATGCGCACACTGGGAACAGGCTCCAGCTGTTCTTCTGCCCCACTGATCTCTGACTCCAAAGGCAGCTGATCATTGTCGGACAGCCCTGGTCTTATCTCTGCCTCTTTTGACTCAGAGCCTTCCCCAGACTCCAGGACTGGCCCATGTTCCTCTCCAACCTCCTCACTGTCTGAGTCTGCCGCCAGCTCCGCTGGGCGCTGGCGGGCCACAACCCTGAGCAATCTGCACGCGATAATGCCTCTCCCTGCTTTTCCTTATGCCTTTTGCAGAACAGTTGGGTGCCAAGGAGAGGGGATCAGGGGCCTAAGACCATTGACCAGATTCACAAGGAAGCCGAGATGGAGGAGCACCGGGAGCACATTAAAGTGCAACAGCTGATGTCCAAGCAGGACAAGCGGAGAGGGCCTCCAGGCCCATCATCTGCAGGTGAGGTGGAATCCAAGACGCCGCCTCGAATGTTTTCCAATCAAAAGAGTTCCAATTACAGCTAGTCCTCGACTTAACAACCGTTCCTTTAGTGACCAAAGTAACAACGGCAGTGGAAAAAGCAACGGATGGCCGTTTTTCACACTTTAAGACCGTTGCCGCTGCCCCGTGGTCACGTGATCAAAATTCAGACACTCGGCAACCGCGTTTATGACTGTTGCAGTGTCCTGTGAGGCATGGGGTCCCCTTTTGAGACCTTCGGAGAAGCCAAGTCAATGGGGAAGGCCACATGCATTTAAGTGCTGCTAACTTAAAACAACTGCAGTGATTCACTTAACAACTGTGGCAGGAAAGGGTGGGAAATTGCACAAGATTCACCTTTCTCACTTAGCAACAGAAATTTTGGGCTCCATTGTGGTTCACAAGTTGAGGACCGCCTGTACTCCAAAAGTAGCAAATTCTTGTGTCAATTCAAAACATTCCTGTGCCTGTTTTAGTAGTTCCCATGGGCGGGGGGGGGGGGAGAGAGGAAGGAAATCTGGAAGAGCAGTGCAGCAGTTTAGAAGCGAAAGTACATTCCAACTCTTTATCTTTTAAAGATTGTAAACTAAACTACCAGAGCTTTTGCCCACTAATATATTTAATTGGAGAACGTGATTGATGACACCCAGCCCGTGAACGGACTCAATTGGAGAATCTGATTTATGAGACCCCCCCAGGGGGGAGGGGGGACACAAGTGGGCTGTAAATTACGTAGGCTAGAGTTAGCTTCATACAGGGGCAGGGCCAATATGTCGCCTCAAATGAATCCTTTGAAGAAGTTTTTTGAAGTTTGGCCCGAGAATCATGATTTAATTAGGGCGATTGCTGGAATCCTGACACCTTGGCTCCCGTGGAAAACAGAGTTCTAGCTTTCCCCAAAGTCCAGTCTTGCCCATGAGGACAGCTGGCGCTCTCCCAAGAATTTCAAAGGCGAATTCTTGACTTGCGTTATTTCTGCAGGGGGACGAGGAAACCTAGTATCGGATGACGGTTGGAACACCGTTCCCATTAGCAAAGGTAACCGGCCTCTTGACCCCAGCAGGTTAACCAAGATCACTAAGGTAAGTTGCTATAACTGGTTTTGGGTCCTACTAAAACTGGGGAGAGGAGGAATGGTGTCTTCTTTTTCTAGATGACGGTACCTCAAGTCTTAAAAATCAGCCCGATGTGAGATTGCCTAGGTCACTAAAAGGCTAGGTTGCTTTTTTTAATGGTTTTTTGAATGTGGTGGTTATTATGCTAACCAGCATAATAGTGAGAGCAACCTTGCTTTTTCCTGGGATTTGGGAAGGGAGGGGGGGCAAGCCTTCTTAAACGGACTTTGCATCTCCTCCAGATGTTAATAAATTTGGAGTATTTTTTTATATGAATGTGGAAAGTGAGATCTGACAAATATTCTAGAAACGGAAAGCAGGACTAGTCATTTGCAAGAAGAAGCTACACACATATTGAAAGAATATATCTGCACATCCTGATTTTTGATCATCCTTAGTTCACATATTCCAGTTTTGTTTCGAAAGGGTCAAGGCTCAAAATTCGTTGCTCACTATGCTATAATAATATTTATAAACTTACCCTGCCTATTTTTCACATGTGTTAAGGAAATAAGTGAAACAATGTGTTAAGGAAATAAGACCTTCACCTGAGATGTTTATGCAGGTTCTCAGCCATCCAGTTCATAGTTGTCCAAAGGTGCTTTTTCAAGAGGCAACTGGACTTTCTGGTTTTTCTCTGAAGACATTTCACTTCTCATCCAAGAGGATTCTTCAGCTCTGACTGGATGGTGGGGAATGGAAGGATTTATATTCCTTGCAGACAGCTGGTCATTTGTCTCCTTCTAGAGGATCATTGAGACCTCTTGGAGGTTTATTTATGTCCTCAGGGTCACCTGAGTAGAGTAGTGCATAGGGGTGTGGAGCCTTAAGCAGAAAGCACCCATTTGCACTACTCAGGTGACTCTGAGGACACAGATAAACCTCCAAGTGGCCTCAACAACTCTAAAAGGATGCAAATAACCAGCTGTCTGCAAGGAATATAAATCTTTCTATTCCCTACCATCCAGTCAGAACTGAAGAAACTTTGTGGAAGTCTTCACAGAAAAACAAAGTGTAAGTTGCCTCTTGAAAAAGCACCTTTGACACTTCACCTGGAATGAGGGTGCTGAGTAGTACTTCAAATTTCCATGACTTCGTTGCAACATACTTGACAGATTTTGGTAATGTTTTAGATGTTTATTGAGGTGGTGCTTTTGCCTGTGAGATGGAGGTGGTGGCACAATTTAAGGCGGCAGAAAAGCATGCACACTGAATACTAAGCAATTGGACGGTGTCTTGTCTTTCTCCTTTTTACAGCCTAGTTCAATTGACACTAACAGCCAGCTCTTTGCACCTGGTGGACGACTGAGCTGGGGAAAAGGCAGCAGTGGCGGTTCGGGTGCCAAACCTGCTGAACCAGGTAAAGGTGGCAACTGGTTTCGCAGGAGTGTTGCGCAAACATGGGTGATGCCATGGATTGTGAACTCGTCTAATCCACCATTTTCCTGCCTGCAGCTGCCGACACCAACCGTCCAGCCACGAGTACTTTGAATCGTTTTTCAGCCTTACAACAACAGACGGCTCCTGCAGAGAGCCAAGATGTTCGGCGTGTGGTTCAAAGGTTGGTGGTCTTTATGCTTCCGTGGCAAGCATTTCCTCTTGTGTTTGAGGCTTGCGTAGAGACGTGCGGATGGACAAATCCTGGGATTCAGGGCTCTTGATTGTGGTTGCTCCTCTGGAATATGTGAGCTGGTGGGTTGAAGAGGTTTTGGCCACATATAGGCCATGCTCACAAAACACCCTTAACCCAATGGATGGATGGATGGATGGATGGATTAATTCTTTATTGGCCAAGTGTGATTAGACACACAAGGAATTTGTCTTGGTGCATATGCTCTCAGTGTACATAAAAAGAAAAGATACATTGGTCAAGAATCATAAGGTTCAACACTTGATAATAGTCATAGGGTAGAATAAGCAATCAAATCATACTAGGAAACAGTCCATATAAATCGTAAGGATACAAGCAACAAAGTTACAGTCATACAGTCACAAGTGGGAGGGGATGGGTGATAAGGACTGATGTGAAGATTAATAGTGATAGTAAAGCAGACTTAGTAAATATAGTAGAAGAAGCACAGAACAGAACAGAAATCATTATTGGCCAAGAATGATCGGACACACAAGGAATTTGTCTCAGGTGCATAAGCTCACCGTGTACATATAAACAGCAAGTCATAAGTCATAGTTCACAATCATTAATTATACATTACGAACAACAATTGATAAATCATAAGAAACCAACAGGGGAAGATAGTAGGAAGGATGAGAAATGAGAGTGCTGTGAGGATTAGGTGTTCAGCAGAGTGATGGCACGAGAGAAAAGAGATAGCTGTCTTTGTGTCTAGTTGTTTTGGCATGCAAGGCCCTATAGCGGCGTCCTGAGGGTGGAAATTGAAATAGATTATGCCCAGGATGAGAGGGGTCTGTAGATATTTTCTCAGCCCTCATTCTGGCTCGTGCAGTATACGGGTCTTCAGTGGAATGCAGGCTGGTTGAGGCTGTTTTTTCTGAATTAACCGGTAGTCTTGGTTTGCACAACCCTGACCTTGTTAAATGGGCTGGGCTTACACCCTGAGCTTATACAAGATTAACGCTAACCAAGCTGGAAATTTGTAATATAGAACAGACCCAAAGAGCAATTCAAACTGTAAATCCTGCATACATCCCACAAATAACATTTTAAAAATGCATCACATTCTCCTCCCCCCCCTTTTATTTTAGCATAAAATAAAGGGTACTTAGTCCCACAGGCCCCCCTTTTTATGACCCTGTAATCCTGCAAACAACCAGGCAGAATTGTCATCCACAGCTGCTAATGTGTTGATTAATACTGGCAGGGATAATAGAGAGAGTGTCAGCCAAGCAAATGATTACTGTCAGATTCCAGGTAGTTTGGCGAACGGTGGTCAGAACAATCATGGCTTGATGCTATCAGCAATGAGTGGTGCAATTAAAATGCTGCTTAGTTCATTGATCCAATTTGCAAAATACATTGGGTTCTAACAGCATTGGAAATCGACACTACTTCCCCATGAATATTTGCATTTCATCTGCTAGGCATGAAGGAAAATGAATTTTGCTTAAAATCTGGCTTTCTCAGTGCAGTTTAAAGCAGTCGCTTCTGCAGGTCTTCTCATTCCCTTGGGAAATGATATGTGTATTATTTGTATCTGTATGCCTTTGTGTGATATCACATGTAACATTAGCTTCATTTTGACCGCGTAGGTTACTCGGATGAGTAACAAAACCTCTCAGTTTAATAAATGTCATTCCATTTGCCGTGATTTAACCTTTTGGGATACTTTTGGCTTGGGTGGTTGAGTCTTACATATTATACATTTCATTTTGCAGTCAGTATGGCAAGAGTTGGTACATTCCAGTGACACCCTGCTTAAAAATTTTCATTTTCACTGAAGACGTCACTTGGATGAGTAATGAAACAACCTCAATTTAATAAACTTTGATCCAGTTAGTCATGATTTAATTTTTTTAGATATTTAGGAAATGGTGATGTCTCTGTTCCGGATTTGAGATTGCCTTGGAGTTTTGTTTCACTCTTCCTTAATGCACTTCACTTAATGCAACGGAGACATTAAGTGATGAGCAATCCTTATGAGAAGCAGCCTTTCCCTCCGTTGGAGAGATTTCTGGGTTCTTCCCCGAAGTGCCGGAAAGGGTGCCCTCGCCTAAAATAGGGATTTTTGGGGCGCTTGTATTTGCAGAAGCAGCAGCAGCCGCGACCGCTCCGAAAAAGGCAGCGAGCGAAGTGAGAGGGTAGAGCGGGCAGAGCGAGGCGACCGCGTGGAGCGGAGCGAGAGGGTAGAGCGGGCAGAGAGAAACCGAACCCCAGTCACCAAGCGCAGCTTCAGCAAAGAAATGGACGACCGGAGCCGGGAGCGCGAACGGCAAGGAGTCCTTGAAACGGTGCGCAAAGTGGCTAGCATGACGGAAGAGCGTGACCGAAGCAGGGAACCTGGTGAGTTTGGGGTAGCAATGGGGAGGGGTGCAAACAAGAAGTGAAGTAAGCCACCACCACCCTTTCCCTCCCTCTCTCTCCCTCTCTCTTCATCCCAATTCCAGGCCAGAAGGATCTCTGACTTTGCTTTCTCTTCCTTTTTTCATTTCAGAATTGTATTAAGTTTATCAAAATATATAGGATACAAAAATATAAAAGAAAATAACCGGAAAACGAGAAAAATAGGAAGAGGAATAAAGTGTAGGGCAAAGAGGGGGTGATGAAAAAAGAAGGCATTGACTTCTGACTCCTTTTGGTGCAGTAGAATAGGATCATAGCATAAAACCTCAACTTTTTATTTTTATATAATGATATATAGACTAGCCATTTCTATAACAACAAACCTATCTAATGAGCTGTACCCAAAATCAAGAGTTTTAATCCCCCTCTCAAGCACAAAGTCGAAAAAGCGGCTTCCAAATTAATTGTTTTCTTTAATCAAAGCAATCATTTAGCCGTCTCTGCTAGCTCCATCAACTTTTGCAGCCATTTGCCCAGTGTGGAAATCAAAGCGTCCTTTCGTTTGTGTGCATACAATTATCTTGCTGCCGTCAGCATATATAGCATCAACGTCCCAAATTTCCTTTCAAAATCATTATCCATTAAACCCAAAAGAAAAAAAAAACACTCTGGTTTTATCTTTATACTCACCTTGAGAACAGCAATAGCAGTAGCACTTAGACTCATATACCACTTCACAGGGCTTCCCAGTCCTCTCTAAGTGGTTTCCAGAGTCAGCTCCCAACAATCTGGGTCTTCATTCACAGGATGGAAGGCTGAGTCAACCTTGAGCCGGTTAGAATTAGCCTGGAATGCTGCATTCTAACCACTGTGCCACCAAGGCTCTACAGAATCCTACAGAATCTTCTGTATTATGATGTGAATCCTATCCCAATATTTCTTTCCCTTTTTTCTGCTTTTCTCACATTCTCGCTCTCCCTGCAGCAAAGCGTGAGCCAGTGGCTCCCGAACCACCCGCCAAACCTGCCTTATCTGAGGAAGAGCTGGAGAAGAAAGCCAAGGCCATCACTGAGGAATACCTACACATCAATGATATGAAGGTTTGTTCTGGGCTCTGATAGGAGAAAAGGTTGGGTGGGACCGTGGTTGCGTTTGCCTGACTTTAGCAGTGGGAGGGGCGATTCAAAAGCTCTGATATTTCAGGGCATGTGGCAGCCACAGGATCTTGGATGAATGATGAGCCAGCAACAGGCTAGGACATACTTTTCCTGCTAGGTCTGGTAGAGGAAATTCAGAGGCTGCCCAGAATGTGTGTTTTTTTTTAATTGTTATTTTACTCCACCTTTAGAAGGATTAGAATTTCAGGCTTTCCCATCAGTGTAAACCACAATCTCAGTCTTTATCTTTATTTATTTGATTAGCCATTGGGCCATTATTAAAGTGCAGAGTTCCAGAAACAAAGTGTTACTAAAATTTGCTAAGAGCAATTTAAAATGGGATAAAATACAATTTTAAATGAAATTGGAATTTTTAAAAAAATGACTTAAAATGAAATTGGAGTAAAATACAATACATTTAAGATGTAGATAAAATATGATAAAGTTAAATTTCGGTGTCACCCCTGCAATCTACCCCAATCAGTCCCACATAGGCAGATCTCAACTGAATCATTTTGCTTAAGTACTGTGCTGTGTCAAATGTTATTTTCAGATTCTGGCCGTCCATAAGGGTAAGTTGTAAGTTCATTGTAAACCACAAGCTAAACCAAGGGTCTTCAAACTTGGCAAATTTGAGACTTGTGGACTTCAGTCCCCAGAATTCCTGAGCTCACATGACTGGAGGAGAAATTCTGGGAGTTGAAGTCCACAAGTCTTAAAGCTGTCAAGTTGGAAGACCCCTGAGCTAAACCATCTCAGGATTTGCTTCTTTGCTTCTGACTCAGGAACAAGGAGCAAATGAAGCAAGCAAATGAAACCTCTACCTGGTTGAAAATATTGTATTTTGTCCCCACGGGTGGGAAGGGCAGGAATATTAATTCAAAATTTCCCTGTGCATTTAACAGGAAAATACGGCATTTGATTTAAACAATGCATCTATTGACTGATTACCTTACAGTGGAAGCCAATGTGCTGTAAGAATCATTGAACTAAGGAGATTTGGTTCCTAGGTCAGATCCTAGGAGCAACAAACAAACATATCGTTGTCTGCATGTCGCCACAATCGCAAAGAACAGAAGCAACCAGATAACCCCATTTGTTCAGGGCTTCTCTGGATCTTGTTGTACAATCTATATTCGATGATTTCCAGGTGCCGGCACCTCCATTGGTTCTATCCAGTACACCCAGAAGGTGGGGGAAAACCAGGGTCAAGGGTGACAATGAATTATGTGCCTCAGAGTCGGCTAGCTGTCAGGATTCTGGCAGTTACCCCCCCCCCCCCATTCAAATCATGAGTTTCGAGCCAAACTTTTAAAACTTAAAAAGGATTTATTGGTAGTTAACATGTCCGGCACTGCCTGGGTGTAGCCGACTCTGAGACACATCATTCATTGTCACCTTTGACCCTGGTTTTCCATCACCCCCTGGGTGTATCGTAATTCATATTCTCCAATGGGACACATCCCTAGCCAAGAGTCATCAATCATGCTCTCCAGTTAGAATTTGATCCAGTTAGTCATGATTTAACTTTTGTAGATACTTAGGAAACTTCAGTCACCTAGTTACTATCTTTGACAACATTGATGGATTGCAGTTTCAGTTTTGCAAGCTGCTGCATTGATCCCCCCCCCCCCCCATCCCTTTCTGTCGGCAACTCTAAAAAGACCATAGAAATATTTTATGAGTTGACCGTTGCTTCTTTATAGCTT